GACGGAGCGTCTCTGCTCCGTCACGTCGGCATGACGACGGCCTGCATCGGCCTACGCTGGCCCGTGACTTCCGTGGCCACTTAGGCTGGTGCAGAGCAGGGGGAAGCTCTGAGACGGCAGAGCAGAGAAACAGGGGGAAGAGAGGGAGAAGGAGATAAGGGAGGCCCGGGAAAACGGGGAGGACGGGACTGGCAATTAATGCCAGTCTCGTCGGCGTGCCCTTTCGGCCCTGCTCTAGCCGTATAGCGACGGTGCGAGGCTGCGCCGCCGTGCGTCACTCTGTGGCCAGAACAGGGGCAAACAGGAGAAGGAGAAAGCGACCGGCGCGGGGGAGAAGGAAGGAGAAGGGAAGCTGGGCCGGGTGGGGCCTAGCCGCGTGGAGGGGAAGAAAAAGAGCGGGCTTGGTCCGCGGGGAAGAAAAGGAAAAAAAAGAAAAGGGAGGTGGGCTGGGCCACGCGGGGGGAGAAAAAGAAAATGGAGAGAAAAGAGGCCGGGTCGGCCCAGCCCCGACCCGGCCCGGTTCGATTTTTTTTTTTTTTTTTTTAAGGTTCTAAATATTCTATTAATACAGATGTGCCTAATTTCTATATGCAATGCATTTAAATAGAAATATTTTTTGTTTTAACTCCTAAATTTTGTGCAATTAATTTTGGGCAAATTAAAATAGGTGTCAACAACACTATAACTCAAATTACACACCCGGCTCACCAGGATATATTTCCTTAAATGACTTCGTACCTAATATTCTTAGACAGCACATAAAAGGAAACCAATTGATTACAATCTTGGACTTTCATGTCAAAGAACAACTAATAAAGTTGTCCATCAGTCCACTGTTTGGTGATCGAACCAGATTGAGAATTGGCCTAACCAAATCATTTTCTAAAAGTAGCATTTCTTCGGTTTCGGAGTATTATGAAGATCTCTCCATAATCGATACATTGGACATCCAAAATACTCTCTTCGCAAAGCGAAGCTGAAAAAAGCTAACATAATTTACGTTGAGAGTTTCCCGTTTTACTTTTATTTATCCATTTCCTAGACTATGCATGATATCAAATTAGTTTGAAAAGTTTATCAAAAGCCACAACTTTAAGAATCGTCGGTAATGATTTTTTGTGTTAATCCTATACTCGACTATCTATCTATCAACTTCTGTGGAACTTCTTGATCAGATTGAATCCAGAAAGAACTTGCATGTCAAGTTTAGCTTAAAGAAGAAAGCCTTGTACGATGCTTTCAATAAACTTATCGTCACTTCAATATAGCCTCAATCATTTAATTAAATCTCTATAGAACATTTTAGCAGTACTTGCCATGATTAAGAGATGGATTACGGAAGTCATCATACGTCGGCAAATATTGATGTCGCAAATTTAAATGGATGAAAATAATACCCGATGCACATAGCATTTGTTTGATGCTAGATCTTATGGATCAAAACAATTAGCTAGTAATTCTTTAGGAATTCTTGATCTGTACCGATATGTCCATTGCTCTGATGTATTAGGTTTTGAGAGACAGATATCTAGGTAGATAATTATATTATCGGCAAGTAATTTGTGGTCATTAATGACTAAACAAGTATACTTGGCATAGTGACACATGTCATAGAGACAAATAAAGCCCATTTTACCGTTAATTACCGACTAATCCACTTTGAATTTGTGGATGTTGACATCGGCCGACTGAAGGACCGAAAAAGAAGTCAAAATATAGCTTCCCTTAATCTAAAATCTCGAACCAAATATTGCAGCTATCGCATACGATCGATCAATCAAAAAGTAGCTAGTTTTAGACATTGCCTCTTGGATAATAGGTCGTACGTCCAACTGGTACATATACGGTGCTTCTAACGTTTGCCTCACTTGTTTTCTTCACCTAGCTGCAAATGATATATGAATAGCATGATCTATGACGCCCATAACGTTCAGCTTGCTATTCACTTCACCAAACTTGAAACATGACTAGCCCGGGATTACTGATTTGTCTTTTATTTTCCTCTTTAATTAAGATTGCTAAACACAATCTGCACTTTTTCTTGAGGATTTAATGCTCTTAATTGCGTTTACTAAAAAGCACTGTGGGAAACTGGGAGTTCCATGCCTTCTCATAAACTAAAAGGTTTCTCTAGGGCCAATGAGTTGCACTGCTGAAAGCAAGTGATTGAAGGAGTGAGTCTACACTTTCTTCCACAATCCTTACCTGTAATCTTTCGCAGCTCCTCCATTTCTCTGCATCTTTTTTTCTTTTTTTGGTTGTAAACATTTATTTTTTTTAAGAAGATTTGATTGTTTTTGTTATTACTAATCTGTTTGCCTTTTCTCTCTGGATCATGCAGGAGCAAGAGATTTAGACACCAATAAGCAAGTATCTGAAAAGGGTATTAAAGATTATACTTTGTGAAAGCAGATTTTGTTTCTTTTTTCGTTCTTTTTTTGGGTTCCATTCTGATTCAGGCAGGTTTATGAGGTTAATTATTTTGAAGAGTCCTTTTCTTTTAGAATCTGGGGAAGAAAATAACTTGGAGATGGCATTGGTGACAACTTTACCATATATTACTTACTAAATATCTATCTAGTCTCTCCAGGAATTCAGAAAAATAATGAACACAGAACAAGATAGAACAAGAACACACCTGAGTCTTACCTAGGGCACATTTCGAAAATCATAATTGACATGATATATTGTAAGATTTGATTATCTGACTATCTATGAGTTCCTCATGAAGATCGAAAGGTATGAGAATCTTATTCAACATGTCTTTAAACAAACCCTAAAATGCAATTTCTTCATGAAGAATTTGATCAAATGCATTCCGGTTATTCTTCTTGCGATAACTTTTTTCTTTTTTGGACCAAACTACCTTCTTGCAATTAAAAGTAGCTCTGTAGCTGCATGAAATCTATAGATTATCAAGTAATTAAGAGAACCTAGTTTTATTCTTTATTGATTATTTTTCCTTTTTAGGACATCCATTCTTGTGTTCGTCTGGAAGTGCAAAGTTGAAAGATTTTGTACCCTGAACGGAGTTCAAGAAACCTAATGCATATGAGCAATCAATCATTTTATGTTTGTTTAAGGTTGATTGTTATCATTTTGGCCGCTAATTTTTAATCAAATCATGTCAAAACTTGGTACCAAAACAGAATCTTCTATCCTTTCAAAACTTAGTCCCGACATACTATAAAAATCGATATTGATAGTTGTTTATAAACCCAGTCGATCTGCAGTTTTTCATAAGGTGCAATTATATTGGGTCCCTATGCATTTTTTCAAAACTTCTTTGCAAAAGATAATGTATATTTTTCTACCATAATCCAATATAAATATAGCAATACTCGAATTTTCAAAAGATTGTTGCTACTCGTTTGTTATTATTTTAATGAAGTATAATGAGTAGTCGATATAAAATAAAATATTGACTAATATTAAGTAGATAATGATATACTTCATCCAATTAATACCCTCAATTTGCTTCCAAAGTACTTTTAAAAGGATAACTTGACAGGGAAGCAATTAACCATGTGTGTGTGTAGCTGAGTTTATCAAGCAGCATATATAAGATCTTTATTTCTTTTTGAGTCACAGCTTCAACAATGTACATGTCAATTAAAGTTATATGGCTATGTCAAACCATATATCTCACCATGTATTCGATGAATCAGACTACACGATAACCAAAAGGCTTTCTTTTCTTGTTTTTTGTTCAAAATAACGCCATGAGCATTGAGCGAGAATGGAGTAGGGGTCTACAGAATTCGACTCCACTGGTTAACAGTTCATACTTCATTTGGTTTCTACAGCGTCAATCTCAAGCAATTTGGATTTCTTTTGCATCAAGAAAGTCTTGGAATAGGCTAATTGTATTGGACATAATCCGATAACACAGTGTGAGCATACACAGTTTTAATTTAAAAACAAAGAAAAAAATAAGTGGGCATTAGTCCCTACGAATTCTGCTAAGTAGATTAGACTGGACGCTTACTACATCATCTATATGTATGCTTCTTGTGTGATCCCTCGCAGGTAATGTAAGTTATACTCGGTTCTCGCACACTTCTTTCGATTGGAAGCTTGAACTTCCGGCGATTTAAATTCTTTACTTGCCAGCAATGGTGATTTTCCTTGAAATTGGTTTTGCCAATTATATTTTTAATACAATGTTTTGGAGAAAAATGAGTCATAAGTTGATGGGTTGTTGAGTTTCATGCATCAGGACAACTGTTTGTGCTAAACCATTCTTTTAGTTCACCTCACTAAGCAAAGTGTAGATATCTCTTATAATGGGTGCTACTAGATATTTACTCTTGCTGGGAAATATATTTCGCTATGCTTAACAGATGCTTGATGTGGTACAGTGATGAAACTCCTATATATATTTCAGTTTATGAAACTTAACCTGATATTTCATGTGAGAGACAAAATTTCCATGTCATGTCCTAGGTTCTTAACCTGAAAAAAATCCTCAAAGAACTCTAATAGGAAACAGAATTAAAAAGACATGATCTAGACACCTATTTTGCTGAAAACTTAAAAGATGGTGTCATTATTCTCAGAAATTAGGAAAGGTTATTTATTCTGATTTTATACCTTAAGTAAATCAAGCATGTATCCAAAGCATATCTTTTGCGTCTATTTTTCCTGCTCTCTGAACAACCATGCAGGAATTTTCCTTGTCATAGCAGGAAGATACGATGAAACTCAGCTCAGCTTCAGTGTTGCGGCTCGATTACTACTTTGTAATTCTGGTGATTCCTGAAACTTGCTTTCAATTTGTCATCTTATGCTTCTGAGAGACTAATAATAGCATGTCCTAAAATAGTATTCTAAGGTTGAACATGTTATATAACATGCAAAAGATCCTCACAGTGTAGTTTCTGCGATCTCAACGCCAAAGAGTGAAAAAATTGAGTCAAAATCGTGCTTTTATGAACTTTTCCCCTTCCCTTGCACGACTTGCATTATGGTGAAATTGCGAATTTCCAATGCAGGCGATCATGGATCTGATTATTGCTGGTTTACTCTTCCCGAGCTGGATAAGTATGATGAGGCATATCGAGGATAACTTAAAATTAGATTCTGAGAGATTCAGTTCCCGAATGAAATCAGAAGTCGAGCACACAGCAAAAATCTTACACTCGATGAATTCGACAGCTACAGCTTTAGCCCAAGTTCTGCATTCATCTCTAAGCAGCACAAATTTTTCGTTTGTGGATATCGAAACTAAGGTACAAGTTCATTATCAGTGGTCCGCAAAATGTGTTATGTCCCACCTTAGCATATTACAGTTAAACAAGTAATTGAGCTTACAAATTTCACAGGTGGCTCCGTCAATGTTTCAAGCTTTATTGGTGGTTCCGCACATTGCTCAGATTTCTTATGCTGGAGTAGACGGCCTCTTCTTCTCCTACTATATCGATCGCAACCAAATCGCCGTGCTGTATGCCAACTCTTCCCTCTATGCCAATTCAAGTTCGCCTGACTTGAACAGCTACACTTGGTATAAACAACTGGTAGACCCTAACACAGGAAAGCTCCACGGAGATGCAACCATATCTCGTCCTCGATCTCTTGTTAGTTCTACTTGGTTCCGAGAAGCCTTGAATAGCACAAATGGGGTTGCCTCATTAGACATTGGATGGAACCACAAGCAGGACCGTGTATTGCTTAATGCTGCGAGTGTCGATGCAAGAGGAGTAGTCTCGGTTGGGATTCTTGTCAAGCAAGTAACCGATTTTTTCTCAGATATGAACTTAGGGGGAAGCAGCTTGTACTTGGTTGGTGAAGATGGGGAAGTACTTCTACCGGGCCTTCCGAACACCCGTATGTTTATTTCTGATGATTCTGTTTCCATTCAAGTAATGGCTCGAGATGGTGTCAGAGCAGGTCATATTGGTAAATTTTCCTGCAAATTTAGCGATGCCAAATCAGGAACATCCACAATGAATTATCAGAAAATGAAGTATATGCTCCACTGCGCACCGGTCAATATATTGGGAAAGCAATCTGTAAGGACTATTTGCTTCCTATTCACCTATTGAAAGAGTTTCATAGTTGACATTTTCATATATTTTCTTGAGAAAATATAAGTAGTAGCTATAATAGAATTGTGTTCTTGCATATCAGGTGTACGTGTTGGTCGTCCCTGACCAGCCACTGATTGGTTTTGCTCACCAGAAGCACACATTTTTGTCGCTTCTCATAGCATTGCTCAGCATGGAGGTCATCACCATTTTGAGTTTTGTGTTCTTGGTTATGAGGGCTTTGAGAAGAGAGATGCACTTGCGCGCCATACTTATAAAGCAAATGGAGGCAACTTGGCAAGCTGAGAGTAAGAGCATGAGCAAGAGCAATGCATTTGCTCAAGCGAGCCACGACATTCGCGCGTCTCTAGCTGGAATTACCGGCCTTATAGAGATAAGTTACGACGAAGTTTCTCCAGGCTCTGAGCTAGTGAAAAATCTGAAGCAGATGGAAGCTTGTGCAAAGGACCTGTTAGGTAAATTACTAGTTTGTAGAGTTTTGCAATCCCTTGAGAAAATTGATGAATTTGTTATGGGGGCATGTTTTAATCAAGGATTTAAAGTTCATGCATTTCTGGTTGCAGCTTTGTTAAATTCAATTCTCGAAACGAGTAAAATAGAGGCTGGGAAAATGCAACTGGAAGAAGAAGAATTCGATTTGGCTCAACTTCTCGAAGTTGTGGTCGATCTATATCACCCGGTGGCCATGAGAAAAGGCGTAGACGTGGTCCTAGACCTGAGCGATGGCTCACTGCTCAAGCATTCACTTGTTAAAGGTGATAGGGGAAAGCTCAAACAGATCATGTCTAATTTGTTAAGCAATGCCGTTAAATTCACCGACGATGGTCACATATCTGTTCGAGCATGGGTTCAAGAACCCAGCTTCGAAAATTCGATGCAGGCTTCTGCTTGGAATAGCTGGCTCACACACTTATCATGCTTGTTCTCTGAGAAAGATGAAAATGACAATGACAATGAATCTGAGAGTGAAGTCCGGCAAAATCCTGGTTCTGCAGAATTCGTATTCGAGGTAAATGACACGGGCAAAGGGATTCCCAAAGAGAAGCGGAAGTCAGTCTTTGAAAACTATAGTCAGGTGAAAGAAACGGCTCAAGGACAAGGAGGCACCGGTTTGGGCCTCGGCATCGTTCAGTCTCTGGTATGTCCTTTTCTGTATCAGTTGCTTTTACCGTCCCCGATGTTGCTCTCTGAAAGTAACTTCCTTTACTCAGTCTCTCTGCTTAAGATCAAGTGGTTTGATTAGATAAAGGAAACACGTTATCATCTTTAATAGTAATGAGGAATCTCTCCCCTCTGCCGACTAACCCTCGGTACCAGGTTCGCCTCATGGGTGGAGACATAGAGATAGCACATAAGGACATTGGCGAGAGAGGGACATGCTTCAGGTTCAATGTTTTTCTCACTCCATGTGAAGCCGGCGCCAAGAAATCGTCAGACGGAGACCTCGAGCCCGGAGGTTACAGCATGGCATGTAGTCTCGGGTTAACTGTCCACACTCCCAGTCCTGCCCTGAGCTTTCATAGCTCTCGACAAGCCCTTAATCCCAAATCAGAAGACTCTCGTGTTGTGTTACTGATCCAGAGCGAAGAGCGGAGGAGAATTTGTCGGAGTTTCATGGAAAGACTTGGAATAAAAGTACTCATAGCGAGCCAGCGGCAGGATCTTCGTATGATTCTCAAGAAGGTGCTTACAAAGATCGACCTCTCGCAACATAGCTCCTCGGGAAAATCTGACCTGAGTTTAAGGAGCGTTTCCAGTGACAAGTCCCCTGGCAAAGCCAGAGATGTGCCTCTAAGTTCCCAGGACGGAGCAGACCGTATCCTCCCTGTGTACGACCAAAGTAATAGTCGCAAAAATGAAGCAGGCTTCATGCTACTTATAATAGACGCAAGCTCCGGGTCATTTCGAGAGCTATGTAAGGCCGTGGCTGAATTTAGACAATTTATGCCGAGCAATTGTTATAAGGTTGTTTGGTTGGATAAACCGACGATGAGGAATATCGACCAGAGGGCCATTAGAGACAGCAAGATAGACCCCTGTGACATCGTCATGTCAAAGCCCTTTCACGGGACCCGTCTGTTCCAAGCGACAAGGCTTCTTCCGGAGTTTGGGGGCTTTGGGCTAAGAACGTTGAGAGAGCAGGCGGAGGAGAGACCGTATCAGCATGCAGGAGTGACTAAACTTGTAGCACAAGAAACTGGAAACACTAGCAGAGAGAAGCCTTTGAGTGGAAAGAAAGTGCTGGTCGCCGATGACAGTGATGTAAAGCGAAAACTGGCCGTAGCTAATCTTTTGACTCTTGGCGCGACCATCCATCTCTGCAAAAATGGGGAAGAAGCCGTTGAATCAATTCGCGAGGGGCTTTCTGATGATTGTCCTTATGATTACATATTGATGGACTGCCAGGTAGAACCTTTCGGATTTACTACAAGATCCTAGAATTTCTTCTAAAGTTTTTACACTGACAGTTAAGTCGAACATGATCAAACCATCGGAAACTACGATTATCGGATCAGGAATTTTCACTGTTGACTTGAGATCTTGATGTTAATGTAAAGCTGAATATGAACTTTTGTTTTTGTTTTTCTGGTTGTTTTTGTTTCTATCTAGATGCCGATAATGGATGGTTATGAAGCAGCAAGACAGATTAGAGAGGAGGAAAAGTATTACGGCGTCCGTACGCTGATCATAGCATTGACGGCTCATTCCTCGGGCTCCGAAGTGGAGAAGATATTTGAGGCCGGGATGGATTACCACATGCCAAAGCCCGCGAACGCGGTTCGACTAATGAAAGCCATCAATCAAATTGACAGCAGATGAGGTGCTATACTGCTGTGTATTATGAAGTCTAAATCTCGTGTTTTAGGTGAGATCTTATACAACAAACCTATGGACAAGTGCATGTTTCAATGTATGTATACCCAACAGCTGATGACTTATGATTCAACAGGTTCTATGTGCAGTCACTCCGGTCTGCAGACTCTGAACTGAGTAACCAAATTCACATCGAAAAATAGATATCCTCCTCTTCTATCAATCAGATATCTACCTATGCATCATTATTATCTATCGTAGATTATTAAGGATGGAACCGAGAGACTGTTGGTCTCCATGCGCGTCGTGTGACAATTCTCTTCGCACATGCGATTGCCAATTGGCATAGATATTGCATAAATTCCGAAGGTATCAAAATGGGTTGAAACCCATTTATTGACCTATATATGATGGGTTGAGTCATATATGAGTTAGCCAAATTTTGCTAAATGGGTTGATATGAACTTGAATAATAAAATAAAATTAAATGTGGGTTTTTAATGGGCCTAAAGCCCAACCCACTTGCAGTCCCACTTTACTTGTTTTCAGGTTCAAGTTGGGGGTTTTCAAGTGAGGCAACATATTTTCTAATTTTATTTTCTACTTATGATCCTCTTTTTTTTGTTTTTCAAAATTGAAAAATAGTAAAAAATTTATGATCTTTCAAGCTTTAAGAAAATCGTGAAAATTAGTGTATGATTTTACATGTTAAGATCTATTGACTTATTGATCTTAAGAGATGCCAGATATTTCATTGTGAAAATTGAAAAATTTGCAATAAAGAAAAAGCTACAGACAAGTCAAAAAATCTTATTTGGAACCTTATAAAACTAGTAAAAATCAGTATATGATTTTACGTGTCAATATTTATTGACTTATTGTTTTTAAGAGATGTCATATACTTCATCGCGAAACTCAAAAAAATTGCAATAAAGTAAAAGTCACAAACAAGTCAAAAATCTTATTTGGAACCTTATAAAACTAGTAAAAAAAAATTTTACACTATACACATAGCATAAAAGTTCTTGTTTTCAAATATCCATGTGCATTAGTAATGTAGATCAGGTTAGGTATGGGTTAGGTACGAGTTAGGTTAGGTCGGGTATGAGTCACTAAATCGCCATGTAAGCACATAAAATGGGTCGGACCATTTTGACCCGACCCGATCCACTCATTTGACAACCCTAATAAATTTGCTATGTGAGCACATATTAGTTTTTATTCCTACCTTTTTCTCTTGTTAATTGATTCCAAATATTAGAAAAATTTACAAAGCTTCATATATTCAAATAATTAGGATTGTGCAAAGAAATTGGGAACCGCCTAGACTTGACCGGCTCAAAACCGATGGTTCCCAATGTAACCAGTGGTCGAGTCGGGTATGGGTATGGGTATGTGTTGGGTACGAGTCAAGTCGTGTTGGGTATGGGTCACTAAATCGCCATGTGAGCACATAAAATGGGTCAAACCATTTTGACCCGACCTGATCCACTCATTTGACAACCCTAATAAATTTGCCATGTGAGCACGTATTAGTTTTTATTCTTACCTTTTTCTCTTGTTAATTGATTCCAAATATTAGAAAAATTTATAAAGCTAAAGCATATATTCAAATAATTAGAGCTGTGCAAAGAAATGGGGAATCGCCCGGACCTGATCGGCTCAAAACTGATGGTTCCCAATGGAACCAGTGGGTACCAGTCTGGTTCCCAGTTCTAAGTGTAGAACCACCCACCTACCCACTCAGATCAGACTTATAATATATAATTTTTTTAAAAAAAATCAAAACCCTAAATCTCTTATCTTGCTCGTCAGTTGTCTCGTCTCATCTCGGTCTCTCTCGTCTCAACTCTCTTATGCAACTGCCTCGGTCCCTTGACTTTCAACTCCCATTAACTCACGACCGTGCCTCTGGCTATTCCACACAGACACGACTCACGACCTCGCCTTCCTCTCTCACTTTTGGTCCCCTCCATTTTCTATAAGTTCGAAACGGAAAAAGAACACTAGAAGTGCGAAAAGTTGTATACGGCACTCACTTAATGTCAAAAGTTTTTTTTCGGATCACTTAAGTGCCAAATCAAAGAAAAAACAATAACTTAAGTGCCAATTCCAGCCAAATTGATTACGTGTCCCTTATAATTAAATTTTGAATATGACTTGGCATATTTTTAAAAAAATCCAATCCACGTGGACGTTCAAAACGACGTCGTAAAATCCAACTAGCACTGAAGTGATTATTTTTTAACAACGATTGGCGCTGAAGTCATCACTTTAAACAAAACTTGGCACTCAAACCATCACTATTTACAACTTCTAGACGACATCGTTTATGGTTATATGCTAACTGGGCATGCTTGACGAGTCACGTAGAACTGAGAAATTAATAAAATGTGGCCACGTCAGATTTCCGGCTACCCAAATCGGAGTTGGCACTTAAGTGATCGTTTTTTTTAAATAGTGACATTTAAGTTATCCGAAAAAAACTTTTTGTACCAAAGTGAGTGCCACACACAACTTTTGATACTTTTAGTATCCTTTTCCCAAGAAAACCCTAATTGCTGCCATTTGCCTCTTTTTAGTATCTTCAATCTACTCATTGTGCTGGATGATTTTGTTCCATGTACTTGGATTTGGTCTGAAGGCAGAGCAATTAAAGAATAGGGAAGTTTTCTTTTACAAACAACAGGGCATTCTTTTTTGCTGGAAAAAGAGGAAGCTTGGTGGGACCGGTTCATGGCTTGCTGGAAAACAAGTCACTTATCGCATGAAGCTTGGTGGGACCGCTTCTATGGACCCATCCGGAAATCGGATCGGATCGGCAATTCGGTTTTTCGAATGGGTCCATGAAACTAATAGGCGGTTCTCGGTTCCAATTTTTTGAAATCGGTCTTTAGTGGGCGGTTTCCGATTCCCAGTCTCAGGGTGGGAATCGCCCACCCTAAAATCGATCATTCTTAAAAATAATATAAGTTCGTTGGAATGTAACTATAACAGAGGAATTATTTATCCAATTTGAAGTAAAAATCAATGAGTGTTATATCTAATTACGTCAATGATATAAATGTTAGAAGGTAATTATGGCTGTAAATATTATAGTATAGTTGTCCATTTGATTTGAAACTAACACAAAATAAAAATATATACTTTATTACATGAATAGTATATATAAGTTATCAATAGTATGACATATAGCTTGTTTTATAACACGAATATAATTTAATTTTAAAGTTCACCAATTTAAAGATCACAATAGAATTAGTTATAAAAATTGATAAAGTATGTTATTAAAAAGGAAAAAATTGACACAAGTTGCAAAGAATCTTGTTAAAAAATTGCAGCATACACCACTAGAGTAAAGGAAATTTTAACAAGCGGTCTTATTTAACCTTTATTTAAGGATTATAAACTATCCACTCTCTTGTACCCATGGTGTATAAGGCCGCACCTATAAAAAAAAAAGTTCTTCATAGCCATGCTATAATTACTTGAATCTTTTTTGTAATTTCATGTGGGGATGATATTACTGAGTGAATAGATTTGGTCAATTTAAAGAGTCTACAAAATTAATAAAAAAAGACACTAAAGAATATTTCTTAATCTAACCATAAGTTATTTATATCCTATGTAGCCATATTACCTATTTCTCGAATCCGATTAACACATATTTACAATGAATTCGAAAAATTGCAAATTTGAGAGAACATAAGGTTCTTTTAACATTATTCTTTTTTTAGTTCCCCGAATTTAAATATAAGTACAATTCAATTCAGGAAAGTATATATTTTCTGGCCAAAAAGAAATTTATTTAACTAAGAATTAAACAGAATAAGTTGATTTACATGTACCGTTAAATTTGAATTTATATTAAAAGATGGGTAAGAAAGAAGATATTGAATGTATACTGAATTTAACCAATGAATGTATTATTCTGAAGTAAACTAATTAAAAATAGGGTATAAGGACTCAAAAGATATATTTTATTGAAAAAGAACTTATTTGATACTTATGTAATTTTATTTTTTGTACAAAAAAGAATTAAAATACTCATGGTAATCATTAGAGCCGACGAAATTAGTAACATTATCGGGGGCTTTGGCTTCAAAAGTTTCGCTGTGCACCTCAGTCCTTACTAAAAGCTTCATCACGTTTGTGATAGCATTGCGAATAAACCAGATTCCTCATCATCCGTGCTTCTCATATAAAATTAAATGACTTGTACTTTTTAATAGAACGTCTCATTACATGAATAAATCTTTTTATTGACAAATAAGTTCATTTTTATAGTTATGTATTGATCTCCCGTCTTGCATCCACGGACCCATGCGGCCGTGCACACCTACTATAAATCTATCTAGGTCACCAATCTGTACTAACACATTTCAACCAAAATTTTTTGCTTAGGCCCATAGAATACCTTGCAAATTTTGAACTGTAATTTCTCCGGAAAATTAGATTAATAAAATCATTTTGCCAAGAAAGATGCTGCAACTTCAGAGAAAAAAGGTAAATATTGGAAAACTTTGAAACCCCCTCTTCACCTGATGAATGTCTTAAATTATGAGCTATCAGATTAGAAGAACAACTTTGTAATATACTATTCCATCGGTCTCAAAACCTAATTTACTCCTTTATCTTCCAGAAGAAGATCAAATACAAATCCATGTAATACGAGAATGAGGGGAAGGACTCCAAAAAAAAAACTGTAATTTAGGCTCCATTCATTTATGTGAAAATGTGACGTTTCTAGAAAATGTTTTCCAGGAAACCATTTTCTAGGAAAATAACAATATTTTCCGGTGTTCGTTTGAAACCTAAAAATGAACAGAAAAATATTTTCTACCGTTCGGTATAGAAAATATTTTCCTTCATGCACTACTTTTAATATTTTTTATTTTTTAATATTTCTTTTCTTTTCTTTTTTTCTCTTTTTTTTTTTCCTTTCTTTCTTCCTCTGCTGGTTGCCGGCCACAGGCGAGGCTCGGCCTCGCTCGCCCAAGGACAACGAGACTCGCTGTGGCCGGTGACCGGCCTCGAGCGAGGCCAAGCCTCGCCTCGCCAGATCTGGCAAGGCTTGGCCTCGCCTCACTGGTCTCGAGCGAGGCCGAGCATCGCCGGATCTGGTGAGGCGAGTCTAGGCTCGGCCTCGCTTGAGTTAGCTAGCCTCGGGCGAGCGAGGTGGCCTTGAGCGAGGCCGAGCCTAGCCTAGCCTAGCCTAGCCTCGCCTCGCCAAATCCAACGAGGCAAGGCTCGGCCTTGCTCGCCGTCGACACGCGAGCTCGCCAGATCTGGGGAATTACTTCTCTGTGGGACGAGACAAGGGACGAGACGAGGGATGAGACGAGGGACAAGAGGACCCGCGAGGTAGCAGCGGAGGAGAAGTAGATGAAGTGCGAGGCAGCAGCGGAGGAGGAGCGGCTCTGGAGATGAAAACCTAGGTTTCATGAGAATGATGGCGAAAAGGAGCAGCTCTGGAGAGAGGAGGAGAGGACGTGTGAGAAAGAGGGGAGATTGGAAAATGTTTTCCTTCCTTTCAGGAAACGAAATCATTTTCCCCAATTTTAGAAGGATATTTTCCATTGACCGGAAAATATTTCTTTGACCACTTATTTTTTGCCCCCTCAACACTGAAAATTATGGAAAATGTTTTCCAGGAAAACATTTTTCGCAAAACGAACGGAGCCTTAGTGATTAGTAATATTTCCAGATATTTGATCCTTATCTTCTGTAGGGCCGGTATAGAAGACAGAGCACATCTATTCTTCTAGTGTGAATGGATAGGCAGCATTTGGCGCAATATCCTTGCGCAACATGGGATTAGGCGTTCTATGGGAGGATAGAATGAGGAATTTCAATAGATGATTAGGGCAAAGATTTGGCAGCGAAATTTCTTAAGATATTTTTCCTAGCAACCATATATGGCATTTGGATGGAGCGCCAATCATAGACGGTTTCAAAACAAGTCAACTGGCATCCATATTATTTTGGCCAAGGTGTGTAAAAATGTAAGAGGTAAAGCGTTATTCTACCAAAAAATTAGATATTTCTAGATAAATGTTGTATCGGCTACTATGTGGAGACTTCCAACCTCTGTCCTTTTGAATTATTAGCTCTATTTGTAATGTTGGAGGATGTTCCTAAGTTGTTGTACTTCATCTACTTTATAATACTTACATTTTCAACCAAAACAAAAATATTTCTGGATAATTTATTTGTTCTGCTTCAAAAATATCTTTAAAATATACATGACATTCATTCAGACCTACGTGTATAAACAATCGTACAGGGGGTCTCATGATTACTGAATCATTGCCATGACTTTTAGCGTCTTCACATGGAACTCTGCATCACGTGTGACAGAATCTGACATCGTTTTCATCGTTCAGCAGACCCTCCCTGTCTTCCTTTACTACTTGCATTTCCATGACCATGGGTTCGAAAATTGAGAAGGTTAAAAAAAAAAAAAGAGGCAAAGAACAAGCAAAGAGAATCACACATTCTGTGCCAAACCATTCATCACCCAAAATCATCTCCATATACCATATTACCATAAATATCCACACCCATAAGTTATTAAGAACAGATAAGGACAACCTTAAACAGGAGTAGCTTTTTTCTGTTTTGGCTCTAGCCTTCAACATATATGCACAGTAGAAAATTGGAGGAGAAAACCTTGGAAGAGACATCTGAGCATGATGAATATAAGTAGTTGTCTTGTTTCCACGACGGAAAATCTGATAATAATCTCATTATCATTCATCACTTACTTATTAGATTCCGGATTGGGACCACTTGGGACTTCGTGAGCCGCAGCTTCAAATTCCCTACTCGGCGTGTGACTCGTTGGAGTAGCAGTTGTTGTTGTTGTTGAAGCAGTAGTGACAGAAGCTTCTGCAAGTTTTCGATGCAATTCCATGGTTTCGAGAGAAGAAGCAGAAGAGAGGAGTTGTCTGGGTGACCAAGATGACGGTAAGGGTATTTCGGGTAAATCTGCTGGGCAAGCCAAGGTTGGAAGGATCAAGAGAAGCCCAAGAAACAGAAGCAATGCTTGTGGTGATGATCTTCTTGAATTCCATTCAGCCATGAATGATAAGAAACGTAAGCACCAACCCCAAGAAGCCCTCAAGAGTATCAATGTCCATGAACCAGTAATATTACTAGTTGATGGACCAAGAAGAGCGGACGAGACAAGGATGTGTTTGCCTTTGAAGAGAGTAAAACTGGTCAAGTCCAAATTCTTTTGGGGACTTCTAGGAGATAATGTATATAGAGGAGGCTAGCAGCAGACAATGAAGTGACTTTTTTTCTCTCTCCAAATTTATCAATATTCTTGTCTCCCACATAATGCAGCCGTTATTAGAAAATAATAGGGAGAGATTTTTGCCAAAGGTAGGGTAGAAGAGAATGAGCCTTAAGAAAAATAAAATAGAACATGTAAAAACTTTCTAGATCTTTTGCTTGCAAAGTGCATTTCACCCTTGTCAAATTTTCAATCAAGATAATGAATAAGGTAGAGTCGATGCCTATATAAAGTTGTGGAATCAGCACAGGATTTTAAACTATTGCTAGTGTTCTTTGTGCTAGTTTATAGGTTATGTTGTACTCCTAAAATTTATGTATTTGTTCTTTAATAGTGAAATATAAAGGGGCTCTTCATAACCCCTTTTTCTTTTTATAGAACAGATAGATAACATGTATTGTGTTTACAGTAGAAAACTGGATGGGACAGCAACTGTATATTATCGCCAAATGAAAACGACCTCTCTTGTACTTACGAAATTATTTTGACACCTCTTGTTGGATCTAACAGGATAATAAATGATGTGGTATTTATTGTTCCTTTTAATTGTGATGTCAATGTAATTAGCCTGCACAAGCAACTCCTAACAACATGTGACACCACATCATTTGCTAGAAAGCTTATCCAAAATGAAATAAAATTAACCATTGCCTTGAGCAAAAATGCAAGTAGGCATTTTATAGTTCCTTTTGCATGGCATTTTGTTTTATTAAGATCCTCTCAATTTATAGTGGTCGATTTAGTTATATCTAATATCGAAGATTGAGACACGTTCCATGAACATAGGTGTCGTGTCATAGTCTCGAGAAAATAGATGGAGTCGTTTGAATTGAACAAAATCCTTCTTCTTTTCATGTATAACATAAGTTAGGAATACATAGTCACAATTCCTCAAAATTATGAAGTATTTTCATGTGTTAAAGAGAAGTTAAGGATCTACCAAATAAAGCCTTGCAGGTATCATGATTCATGACCCAAAAGAACTGCCTTTAATTTCTTTTTACAGCAGAGACCAGAAAAAGAAGCATTCACCTTTATTAAATTTCACAGGGATCATGTAAACAGAATCTGAAAAGATTGATTAAAAAAAGGTGATGGATGATTGTGACGAGGACAGAATCGGTTGGCCTTTTCTTTCATGGCAGCTTATGGAAAGAAATCTCTCTTGTTTGACTCGAAGGGCCTTTTGGAAAATAACACTTTGTTTTGGCTTGTGATTGACAGACATTGAATTTAAAATAAAGAATTACTAGGCATGCAATATATCCTCAATCACTGCCTCATTTGCTTGTAGAGATCCAGGTTTTGTGTCCCCATGATCTGAGGCATCGGTCCCCACCATGGTTGATTATTTGCTTAACGGGATAACCAAAAGATAGGGAAGAGGCTATAAGAAAATAGGGATTTCTACTTTGATGTCATCTTGAGCACATGCTTACTTGAAAAACCAAAAAAGAAAAAAAAAGAAAAAAGAAACTATTTTTGTCTGTTTAAGATTGTACTAAAATTAAACCGAGTTGACATTGGATTTGGATGTATTACTACTTACTTACAACACTCATGTTAGAATTTGTCACATCATTTAATAAGCTAATATAATAGATTTTTAATGAAGCTAACATTATCAAAGTTTTCCTCGTCATATAGTTGATTGTTTTGAAAAAAATAACGAAAATTCTTCCAACCCAATTTTTTTATTGGTTATTGCAAATGATAGTGTTACTCACATATAACTCGTTGAAAATATCAAAAAAGTCATAAACTTATTACGTTGCCGTTAATTCAGTCCTAAATTTTTCAATTGAACCAATTTAGTTCTAAACCTTTTGCATTTGTGTCAATTGAGCTCATCCGGTCAATTTTAGCTTGAGTTTGCTGATGTGGCGCAAGCCATCCTACGTGGCATGATCAGCACTAACATGAACATTTTGTTAATATTTTAATGATATTTTAAATTTCTTAATGATTTTTTTTCTATTTTCTTTTCTTTTCTTTACTTTTTTTTGGGGGAGCTAATGGCCGGCGTGGGTGAGGAGGTGGCGGCCACAATGAGGACCCGTGAGCCCCTTGCTCAAAGCTAGCAAGGGTCGTGACGCCCTCGCTTGATTTGGGGGAGGCTGCGATGCCTAGAGCCGGCGAGGGTCGTGTTAGAGCCGGCAATGGCCGCGATGCCCATGCCCAGTGCAGGCAAGGGTCGTTGGCGACCCTTGGCAGCCCTTAGCCTCCAAAAAAGTAAAGAGAAGATAAGGAAAAAAAACCATAAAAATTATAAAAAAATTCAAAAAACTGTTAGAATATTAATTAAAAATAATTACGTCAACGCATCGGTGATTTCCGGTTAAAATTGGCTAAATAGACTTAATTGGCATAAATACAAAATGTTTAGGATTAAATTTTTCCGATTGGAATGTTTAGGACTAAATTGATATCAATACAATAAGTTTATGACTTTTTTGGTACATTTTTCTGTATAACTTTATCTTAAAAAAAACCCCTAAAGTCATCCATCAATTTCCTCTCTCGTCTGGATATATCTGTCTTCCCTCTCACGCTCTAGGTCATTGCCCCCATTGCCCCACCATTGTTCCCTTCGTTGATGCCTCCACCGACTTGGTAACCTCCTCCTCGCCGCCGCCGCCGCCATCACTGACTGTAAGGATCTTGATTTTGCAGTCGGGAGAGATTGAAAGTGGTGGTGGTGACAGGGTGAAGAAAGTTGTGGCGATGAGTGGGGGAGAGTATGACACGTTTGATTAGATTTTTCATTTTTGCGTATTTTTGGCTAGAGAAGGAGGAGGAACTTTAGGTTGAAGAAAAACATGGCCTAACTCCTAATGTTGCGATTCAGTATATGTAGCATGCTGCACATCAATCTTTCATGTCCATCAAATTCAAAATGTTTAGGGTATGTCTAAATTGATTTTATGTTTTACTTTTTACTTAATATAAATTTTACAAAGCACGCATCTTGACCTAGCAATAAAGTAAAAAAAATTACCTTTTGCTTCTGATTAAACAGAAAAAGAAACACGCCCTTAAGACTATTTAAACATTAATTCTCCAAAGTTATCTTGTCAATTATGCATTCAATTAGAGACCAATTGCAATAATGACACCTTTGTTGTCCATTGTCCCCTTCTGAAAAAGAGGGAAGACATCGCCGAGGTACAAGTATACACTTTTCCTGATGTGAATTTAAAACTCTGTCCAAGATCAATCGCCATCACCGAATAAAGCAAGCATTTCTTTTCTTTTATTTATTTTTTTCCTTTATTATAATTGGTAAATAAAATAAGCATCTTTATAGGTGAAGCTATGTAACTGGAGAAGATTCATAATTAACATATATATATTTTTTGTAATTTTCTCTTTTTTATTCCTCTTTTCCCTTTTCTTAGATAAGAGGGTTGTGATTGAAAGCATTATTTCAACTTTATGTCTGTGGGAAAGCAGGTGGTGGTGGGATAAACATCTTTTTGACATTGGGAAGGGTGAAGAGTCTCAAGCAAGCATGCTTAATGACAACAACAGTAGGTTTCACACTGTTTTCCAATTCATTCCTAGTCAATACATGTGGGTTTGGAAGAATTTTGCAAAGCAACTTTAATTCTAAGCAAAAGCAGTAGGGTAGCTGCTTTGAGTTTTGAACTTTGAAAATGTGGGGTTTGAGCTCAAAGACTTACTATGTCATAATCTTTTCGTTTGATAACTTCAAGAGTCCAAAGTTACGTACTTTTGTAGATTTTCTGATGGACAACTTTGTTGAATTCGTCGATAATTTTGTGTATCATGTGTGGTTTTACTGATATAATACACTTTCTTAGGGTGAATTTGTTTCGCGAAAAATGAGTCATTTGAAAAAAAAAATTCGAAAAATAATTACTTATATCGTTTAGAAGAATTAGTCAACCGAAAATGTTTTCAGCATCGATAACAATCTATACTTTACTATTTTCATGGGTGATGAAAAAAATTTACATTCATTTATTTTTGTAAGCGATGCAAGCGATTATTTTTCGAAAAATGATTTTTAAATCACTCATTTTTCACGAAACGAACGCATCCTTAGTACATAGCATTTCTTTTTCCCTACTCTAAACTTTGGCTTCCATATGTTTTTCTTCAATTTACCTAATTTCATGCCATTGTTTTACTTTAGAATTGCATAGCCTACACATTAATATAACATGTGTCAACCCAAAAAAGTCTTAAACATGTTGCGCTAGCGCCAATTCTAAACCTTTTAATATGTCCGATTTAAATCCAAACCTTTAGAGGATTTGCCAATTTAGTCCTTTCAGCCAATTTTGATAAAAAATCACTAATGTGGATGTCAGTCGTCGTACGTGTCACGGCTGATGCTGACGTGGATAATTTTTAAAATTTTTTTCTTCTTATTTTTCTTTTCTTTTTTCTTTTTCTTTCTTTCTTTTCCTTTTTTTATTCTAAGCCCGGTGAAGGTTGCCGACCGACCCTTGCCGGACTTTGTAGAAAAAAAAAACTAGCCACATCAGTGTTGACCATCTTACGCGATACTACCGGTGTTCACATCAACGATTTTCGGCCAAAATTGACTGGAAAGGGTAAATTAGTAAATTGTCAAAAGGGTTATGACTAAATTGGCCAAATTTAGAGGTTTAGAACTGAATTGACGCCAATGTAATAGGTTTATGACTTTTTTGGTAATTTTCCCGTTCTTAAATTATATCTCAATAATTTTCTGGAAAAAATAAACTGGCAAGAATCATCTCCAAAAGTATTTTTTTATACTCTCTCCAAGAGTTTAAGCATATGTCTGTAAGTTTGACAATTGGGAGATGATAGAGGGTTGGTGAATACAATTTTTCTAATGTACCTTGAGATAAATTTCATAGTGTGTAATTTTCTCTCACTAACAATCATATTTTTTTTATAGCATATACTTAGGGAGATATAAAACAAAAGCTTTTTCATTTCCAGTTTTAGTATCCAATTTCGGTTGATTTTGAGTTGGCGAACGCCCAAAAATTAGGGACTGAACTGATCATGTTGTTATACTCAATT